CAGTAAAATGGACTAGAGACTGTTTTAACCCGACATGTTTGGAGTGAATCATAGACTGTATATAAAAGCCACCATGATGTCGACCACGGGTTTCTGGACTACTGTTCAGAAGCCTCCCATTTGGAATTTGGCGATTACAATCTTGTTCTTTTGAAACTAAATGTGAGATGCGACGTATGGATCAGGCTGGGAACTCAAGGACACTACAAACCAAGGGCAACCTGTCAATCACAGGGCAGCCACGCCCTAAAACTGACTCTACTTTATCATCTATTTTACAATAAATGGAACCATCCCGTTGGAAATGAAAACCATGCAGTGTTCACAAAGTCCTGAAACTGGGGATAGAAACTATAAACTCATTAACTGTCTGTACTAAGATAAGAGATCAGGAGAGAGGTAGAGTCATTGTCTCATAGACTTCCATACAATCTGACTTCTTTTTTTTGTTTTTTAGCAACCAGAGAAGTTGCCTCCTGCTGGCTTTTTGTGCAGAAGTTGCAAAATATGTGACCGCAGAAATGTATCCAAACAGCTGATTCACACCGACGGCAGCAGCAAAGGTCACATCTGAAACGTAACATCTGGAGATACTGGGTAGAGTTGCAGCTTTGTGTTGTTGAACAAACTCAGGAGGAGAGAAAGTAAACCCTGTAAGTATTGGTTTTTAATGACTCATCCAGTCACCAATCTTTTATTTAAGACCCTATCAACTGCTCCACCCTTTAACATCCACTTTTGTTTCACTTTTTGGACTTACAGTGATAAAGTGTGCAGCACAAAGTGACTCAACAAGAGTGTGCCTCTGCATGATGCTGTTAGAATCTCAAAATGGTTTAAACCATTTGATTTGTGAGGCTTTGCCCATTTTTAGACCCGTCATTGTTAAGGCTGATATATCTCTTGCACAACCTTCCCTGTGTGGGTTGAATGTATAGTTTCAGTTCCAAAAATGTCTCCTCTCCAACCAATACTCCAACTTCAGCAGCAGAAAACACATTCTGTTTCTTTCAGATGCATCAAAACACCAAGTTTCGCAACACTTCATGCAAATCAGATGATCTGCAGCTTACATTAATTTCCTTTTCTTTGCTAATAACGTGCTAAATTATAATGCTAAATTGCGACAGGCTGAGCTAACAAATTGGTACTCTGATTTGCCTTTATTGAAGCCGTCACAGAGGGAAAGGACACGGTCTGAAAATGCAAAAAGAACGTTGTCAGCTTTGTTAAAGGTGTTCTTGTGCAACCTATTTGACTGCTCATCACAGAACCTGAGATCTTCTCACCTGATCTCACAAATAAAGGATGTAAATCAGTTCACTTACTTAAAAACTGCTGCTGCTATCAGATGTCTCTTCAACACCTTTACTTTATCTTTATCGAAGAATACATTTGAATATCTTGTGCATCACGGCAGCACCAGAGCCTGATAGCAACATTCTCGTTCAGCATCCAGCGGTCATGTCCCTCTTGAGGCTTCAGCAGGTGCATATCGCTGTCTTATCATGCAACGCTTGCCCCTTGTGGGGATTATATTTACTCTGTGCTGCCGTAAGCACCTTTCCTGACAGATTATATGAATTAAGGCCTTATTATGGGCTCTGGCCAGGAGCTGCATGTACCGGTGATTTGTAATAAGGGCAGTGCTGAGGTGAGTCAGCAGCGACTGGCCTGATTACAGCAGCTGGACCTCAGGAGGAAAACCCTTGGCTCATCCACGGTAAACAAAGACAGCAAGAGGGGAAGGACACTCCATTAGCTGCTTTGTACTTTGTGCGTAGGCACAGCGAGGTAGCGCTTTCAGCTGTGGTCCAAAAAATGTCATTAGTAGCACAATCCACAAAAGAACTTGATGTTGCAAGAAGAGAAAACACTGAAGAGCCGGTTTGGTTCATAGGAATTAATCAATATTTTATATTGTTTTGTAGCAAAATGTTTTCACACAGAAACAGGTATTTTTCTTGTTTTTGTCCTAGAACCTCAGGTGAGAATCATGACTATGTCGAGTCAAGTACACACTTAAATTTATATTCTTAGTTAGCAGACTGGAGGGGGATGTTACATGATGTCAGAAGTAGAGGCAGCAGGTTAAAGGGTTGCGTCACTCAAATGACTAAAATGCGTACGTAGTTGTGCAGCTCTAACGAAGTCTGGGCATGCAGACAGTTTTTGGTTTGATTTGCTCAGGTTTTGAAATGTCCATTTTTGATATTTCAGCCTCCATCCCAACACAACAGAAGTGCATGGACTTTGGTTTGTGCTGCTCAGACAAGTGACATTTTAATTAAAACATTTTGAGAAACTGTTTTCTGAAATGACAATAAAACACTGAAGCAAACTGAACTGAACATTTGCCCACTTTTCAGCAAATGTTACTCAAACAAGAGTAAATATAACATTTGCTGGGGTCTCACATTTGTTTGTGGATTAACCGTAAAATTCATAGCTCGGGTTAGATCACATTAGTAATCAGCGACGACTTAATACACAGTACAAATCATTACTTTTTTCAACTACTGTAATCAAATCGAAAAAGTGTGTCCTACTGGTGATGGCTGTAATGGCCTGAGGGATATATATTTTTTTGTTTTGTTGTTTTTTTCTGGATGAAAGTTATACAGAGCAATGTAATCTCCAGACATCCTATCTTGTTCTTCCCTGGCCCAAACCCAAACACAGTGATAAGAGTATCGGTGCAACACCTGGTTTACAGGTCGAGTGCAGAACAGCATTTTGTTTGATATTAGAGGGTTTTGACGACTCTCCGAATGAAGCTGTACATGAGGCTACTGATGATGAGGAGGTAGCTGTTGGAGATCATGAAACAGATCTTCAACAAGCAAAACTGGAACACGAAAAATGAGAGTTCAGCGATTACTGTGTTGACTATTTACAGTTTGGTAGGCGTCAGTCTATGAGAAGCTACAGCATGCTGGGTGCAAGATGACACAGTACATGCTCAAAAATTTGCTAAAAATAAAAAACGTGGGTCAAAATGTCACATGGGAATTCATCACTGATTAGAATCAGGACAACCCTGTGCTCTATTGTTTATTTACACTGGTTGGCACATGAAAGTTCTGATTGAAAAGCTGCAATTTCCCATCACAGCAACACTGTGGTAGTTATTTCCAGCTTAGATCAACACTTGATCGCTGGACTGAGGTCAGTCAGTCTCAGAGAAGTCGTCATCACTGTGCTCTGTAACCTCCAGTAATGGTGTGTGATGCCAACGTGGAAGCACCTGCCTCCTGGGTCACTACAGAATTGAACAGTAAGAGGTTACTAAAATGTGTGTTATCTAGGAAATTGGTATTAGTATCAACAAGTACGAAATATTAAATGACTCAGATAAGATTGGGAGTAAAAGCAAAACAAAGAAACTTGATCAGGACCGTCCTATAATAACGTTAGGTAGTGAAATGAGCTCAGAAAAATGGTGTTTTTATTTAAAAGTTAATCAACGTTTTGGACAGTTTGCATTGTGTCATTATTTCAACATAACTCCTTCTGATTAAACAGAAGATTAGTATCAATTACTTGTTGGTTTTGCTCTTTTCATAAAATTTGGAGGAGGAACTACCACGGACATCTGAGGAACTGTCAGTTTGAATTGTTAGTCTGCACAACCAAACCTTGCTCAAACCACGTGCAAATAAAACCAGGCCTGCCTACATGAAGAGATACCACTAAAGGTAACTCAGAACATATGTATTTTAGCTACTTGAGTGACGCAACCCTTTAGGAATAACCAGTCCTCCACTTCCCCCTTGGAGCGCCACGTAAAATCCCATTTCATTAAGCCAACTAACAATGACCAAGTTGGTACACCACAGTAAAGCACCTTCTCACTGTTTGCTTCACATGAAAATAAAAGTACCACTGCACGATTTACCCCCCGCCCCCTTTACATTCTCACCCAGTTATTTTACAAAAAAAAAAATGCCAATATACAGAACGGTACACCTACTGTAGGGAAGAAAACAATAATAAAAAAAAATGATGACCAGCCCACGTCTTGAAATGCAGCAGAGACCCACAGAATATCGAGAAAGGCATAAAATGTCAGGATGTCGCAGGTGATCGTAGGCAGTAATCTGAATAGTGATGTATTCAAAGTATCTTACTGCAATGTACAGCCCTGTATGAAAGAGAATGAAAGATAAATGGTTCCTCTGATGAATCAGTTCAGATAATACATAAACCGAAAAAAGGTTCTGTATCATGCAATCTGGGGAAACACATTTCCAGAGTTTTTCAGCTGTTTGGCCCGTTACGACTTATCTTTCTCTTTCTAGCATTCCTCTCCTAAGCAGCATAATGACCTTTATCAAGCTGATAAATGACAAATTTCTCCATTTCAACTTGTTAAATGAATAATTGTCATACGCTCTTGCTTGTGTTGCCTGAAGAGAATCACAAGCCCAATGAAAGATCCTGCTGTGGGCTGCTTTGGGCTAATGATTAAGTGGGCTTGATGGATTTCAAACACCATTCACATCCAGCTACTGTAATATGTCCTGATAGAATCAGAAACCATACCCTGAGGCGAACACTCTGTTTACATCAATGGCCCTTTAGCCTACAGGGACCACTGTCACCAGCGCTAACCAATGGGGAGGGTATCAAAGCATTCAAAGAGATATTTTGTCAGAGCAGGATTTCGACCTGAGCTGGAAACATACTGAATTTGACTGGTTGGAGACGGAAAAGTCCTTTGAAGCGTTTGAAAACAAGCACAGAACTTTCTCGAGTTTGAAGCGGTTTGTGATCCATCTTTAGCTTTTGTTGTACTTCCATTTTCTTTCATATGTAAATAACCTCATATGATACTTAACCTGAGGTAGAAATATAAGACTGGCTTGTTGTGGTTCATTGTTACTAATACATAGAGCAGAGGACCTTGATGTATTTTTATTTTTTTTTTTTCGAAAATGTGTCATGTTGTCTGTTTGTGATTGATTGAAACTTGACTGAAAGTATATGAAACGGCTGTTTGAGAGGTTGCAGCCTCTTTGTGTGTACGCGTTTTTCATCCTCGCCGACAACTGCAACCTCGTAACGGAGCAGTGCCGCTGCCTGCTGATGAATCACCTCAAATAATAAATAGTAAAAATGATAGAAAAAACCCAAATGAAAATAAAAATGACTTCTTCTTAATTTTCTACTCGCTCCACCGGCTCCGCTCTCTACTGTTGCAGTAGTCCCATTTCATGCTGAGGGTCCACGACATTGTGATCCAGTTCACCACAGTCGACGCAAATCCTCTTGGCATTCAGTTCTTTTGATAAAGACATAGTAAATCCACTTTGAATTTCTCATTTTTCCTTGTCCCCATTCTCTCAGACGTACTCTCACCATGCCCTGTGAATTGGAAATTATTCCGTATGGGCCTTTTCCACAGTTGTTTCAAAATAGGAACATTTTTGACATACAGTCGACACTGTCAGAGAGTTGAGACCATGGCCAGGAACCTATCCACTTGAGCGTCTTTTCTTACATCATCGCTTAGACTGTATTCACGTGGGTGAACTTCATGCAGTACCCAAAGATGCCTTCCCTTTGGAACATCCCTTCCACTACACTCATGTTGCTTTAGTTTCAGATATAGATTTATTGTTTGGCCATGGATTTCACAGATGGTCTGTACTCAAACTGTGCTCTCCATCACCCACTCGGAGCTCTCAAAAGTGGGCTTCTCGTCCTCACTGTCATCGTACTGCAGCAGCATGCCGTTAACAGACAGACTACGCTTAGTCCAGATGTTACTGATTCTGCGAGGGTAGTTGCTGCGACACTGCGCAGCCCCTACGTGGCCCATATCAAAGGAGTGGCTCCTCTTGGGTTTACCCTCCTGGGGCAGCCCTAGGAGACGCCCCAACATGGTCGTGGACTCGGCCCTCCCGAGCAGGGGTTCTTTATCGGATGGTGGCGCCACAGCCACTGTCATCATAGTATTGGGCGTGGTGGACGGGCCGGAAGCCCCTTGGTTGTCCCTTGCTGCCCCTCGCAGCTCCAGAGAGGTGAAGGCCCCTAAAAGGTTGTCCAGGTTCGGCCGTGCTTTGGCACCGTGCCTCCTGAACTTGCTGCTGGGCAGGGTGCTGCATTCGCTGCCCTGCATGCTGTAGCGGTCGCCAGTCCCTCTGCCTGTTTGGCTGTCTAATGAGTTAGAGGAGGACGACGACGAAGAGAGGCTGCTCTGCAGGGATCCACACTTGAACTCCACCATTTCCTCGCGCATGACCACCACTGTGGACTTGACCTGTGGTGGGGCGCCGTTGAACCTGTTCAGCCCCCCGTTGGTCTGTGAGTATGTATTACTCACAGTTGGTAATTTATTAGTCTGGATCCCACTGGTAACCTTGTAGCGGACCATGAGGATGATAATGAACACCAGCAGCGTGGCCACAATAATGCCACCGATGACCAGGATCATGGTGCCGCCCAGGAAGCCACTGTGAAGAGACGTGCACTGCGGGTAGTCCTCCCTGGTGATGAATTGAACGCAGCCGACGATGTTGGTGGCAGTGAGGGTGGTGGCAGTGTCCTCCCAGATGGCCAACACACAGAGGTCATACTGCATTCCCGGGACAAGATTTGTGAGTACGAAGGCCCTGTTAGTCATAGGAATCATCCTGGAAACAGACAGAGAGACATAGCGGCATTACAAATACAGAGTTATTGCCACAGGAGTTCAAGACAAGGCTACGTGTTAAAAGCAGCGCTGAATTAGTCCGTTGTGCTGCGGCAGATCAAAGAAATCGTACGAATTAAGCATACTAAGTAGCTATTTATATGCACAGACTCAATGAGAGAGATGACTTCATTGCTCCCAGTACATCCCATTTGATATGCATGAAGCAAATAGTAATGAGATAAGTATTGAATGGCCACTTTTTGAATATTGTTTTGGTTGAATGTAATTTCTTGTTCATCCCATTTAACATGCATTAAGTTGTTTCAAGTCGGTCTGTTATTATTCCAGATGTTTAAATATGACTGATTAACTAAGCCTCAGTGCTTTTGACTGAAATTGAAAATCGATGCTGCAGTAAGTTAATTGTCCGAGAGCCGCTGCCAATCAATGGGATATTGTAAAAAATGTTTTTGGTCGTGTAGACAGAAGCTTCTACACACCCCGACTCATCAGTGTAGCAACATTTAATTACTAATTTGTCTTTCTCCTTGTATTACAAAATAAACGTTTTAGCAATCTTTGCATGACTTGGCAATTACAACAAGAAAACACGACCAATCTAAAGCCTCAGACGAAAGTGAAAGTATTATTAGCAAGCAAGCAGAGACGTTGAAATAGAAAGATAATGGATGGATAGTTGAAGTATTCAGACTGAAAAAGCTCACCACACGTAGAGAAACATCCAGCCCTAGCATCAACAATTCACTTTTAACAATATGAATAGTGTTATAGTAGCAGTGCAACATCACATCAGTGAAGGGGTACTTAAGCTTATTTCATGGGGCTGTGGGGATCCATCAGCCATAGCAAGATTAGAACCACTTCTATATAGAGTACTTGAGGAGTAACTACACCCTCATGTTCAGCTATTCCTCTATAACAGTGTATTTAAAAAAATGCAACAGAGGAGTAAGAGGCAGAGCCGGTGGTGAGCTACAACAGTAAGGTGATCGATGTACAAAATAGATTTTGGAGTGTTGCCCGTTAGTTTGGCTAGTGAGGGCACGGAGAGGCCGATGAAGCAAACCTTTGAATCCAAATAAGATACATGCAGCTAATTTTGAGCAATATTACACATGAAAAGACATTTTCTGGAAAATCACCTGTATTAGCCAATAGAAATCTGCATAAGTATATATGCAGCGTAAAAATAATCAATGGCTCTCACATACTGTATGAAACACGGTTGGGAAAAAGGCTTTTGCAGACTCCACCATACCGTTATCTATAAATAGATCCCTCAGTCATCCATGCATTGCTGGCTTTCTGTTCCCCTACAGTACATGCATCCAAAGCTTTGATCCCTGTGAAGCGCCTCTACCACAGAGCCCAGACACCAGTGGGGCTGCGGTTCATTATTCATCCTTAATTGCCTTTTTCCATAACCAAGAAGAAGCTGTGTTTCCTCACGTGTTTCAGAGAACTCACGCAATCTCTCGCCTGCCCCACGTGGCTCTGATTGATTTTTAATCATGCCATTGCTGGAGTGCAGACGGTGGGAAAGTGTATCGGCCGACTAGAGGTGCACAGTGAGTGTGCATGTGCATGCCATGAAGTCACACCATTAATAATTTAAAGACAGTAGTTGGGCTGTCTTTGTATGTTATCGTTTCCTCCCAGCTTCCAATTTATCTTCTGCCGCGCACATTAACTGACTGCTTTAGGTACGTTTTCTTTTACTGTATATGAACGACTTACAATGAACTGATGATGAAGTAAAATATATTTTATAGCATAAAATCATAAACCAGCAACAGTTTGAAAGTTGTGACTCAGTGCTTTTAATGTAACGGCTACTAGCTGAGCATTAAAATCAGAATTATCAAAGCTGCTGTATCAAAGATGAAAAAAACAACCAAACGAGAACGTGTATCTCCAATGTCTCAAACTAGCATTTCAAACAAATGTATGTGCATGCTGTAGTTATTGAATCTCGACTGACAACAACATCAGTAAAGTCATTAAAATAATCACTTTACAGGGAAACAATTTTGCTCCTGCGAATCAATGAGCACAGGGAAAAAAAAGCAGTTTATGTGACTAACATTAGCGTTATAGTTGCAATTCTGAAGGAAGTAGAGGAAAACAAAAAAAAGACAGAATGTGGATGAGTCATCCAATGTTTGTGTCACCGAGAAGAAAAAAAGGTTCTGAAAATTCATATTGTTCTCTTTTCTCTGGCGTGAAAAGCTGGCACAAAGAGTGCAAGCAAGGGAATCAGATAAACAGCTTATTATTGAATTTGCAGGGATGGTGAGTTGCATTAACAGTGTTTGGACAAAGTAATATCTTTCTTCATTACTGTGTTGCCGTCCTAATCTCAGAATCCCCGCTAACAACCAGTTCTTTTTGCCTTTCCATATTCTGTCAGTTATCTTTCATTAAATGGCTCTTAATGGAACGCACGGTACAGGTAAGAAGTGTGGGAGTACTGCGCGGAATAAATGATCAGATAAAGTGTTGATGAATAAATTCACTGTAGATCGTCAGTGTTTGAGAAAGCTTGACAAAACGGATGGGATTGCTATCCACAACAGGCCGCCACCACTTTTAATAATATTGTACTTTAGCGTACTGAGCGCCAGTCTTTCTCTGGAGGGACCCATCAGTGTGTTTAAGTGTATTGAGCTTCTTTAGCTCAAGGGGATACTGAACCTGAAAAAAAAAAGCACACAGTGTTTAAAGCAAACTGCAGGAATCTGAGATGTGAGATAAAAAAAAATGGATACTAAAGATTCCCATGCAGGAATCTGATTGTTTGTTCTTATCTTTTAATGTACCCAAACTGATTTAATGTTAAACATCAAGGCTGCTCTCTATATTTCCAACCAATTATCTTGGTTGAATGTTGCTGCTTTCACTGTCTCGTTTGACATAGGAAATTGATTTCACAGAGCCCAAAGATCTCCAGCTACAGTCTCCAAGCTTACACTTTATGGACTTAAGCAGCTTAAGAGGGATACATTAAAATGAGGGTCTATAATCCTTTTTCTTCTTGGATTTCTAATTAATGGTTCAGGGCAAGGATTTCACTTTGGGTTTCACTTTTCTTAAAATTGTGAAAGCAGCATCCCCATCAATTGTCAATTTAAGGGAAAAAGAGAAACATCTCGAGAAGGATTAAGAAAAAATGAATGTTGATCTTTAAGTAACACTTCAAAGAAATTGTCTGTCTCAAGTACTCAGGCAGCAAACAATTAGCAATCGACTGAAGAAACAGCACTGCAAGTATTCTGAGGCTAGCGATCACACTTCCCTTAATTTGCCACTCTGACCAGAAAGGTCTCTGCTCATACTCGGATGTAATCGAGTTTCATTAATCATCCTTACCTGTAAATGAGAACTTCATCCTCAGAGCAATTGTACTGAAGCTGATACATTTTGACCTTTGGAGTTGATTTGCTAACAGTCCACTTGACCAGAGCAGAGACGGCTGTCACTTCTGATACAGACACCACCTTCTCCGGAAGAGGTTTCGGCTCCCCTTTGCTGATCTTGGTAGAGCTCGTTATGTCTGAGAGTCCTGACTTGGACTGCGTGGTTCGATTAGTACCATTGCTCAGATGGGGGAGTTGAATGATTGAAAGCTCAATGGAGGCTGTAGATTCCCCAGCAGCGTTAGCAGCGATGCAAGTGAAGATACCGTAGTCCTTGGATGTGGTGATTGTTAAGTCCAGGGTGCCGTTTTCGTATACAGTCGCTCGGGAGGAGTTGCTGATCAAACGGTCATCAGGAGCGACCCAGTGCACCATTGGCATAGGGTCTCCAACAGCTTTGCAGCGCAAGCTGGCCGTTTGACCCTCCAGCACTAGCAACTTGTGAGTATGTTGCGTGATCAAAGGGGGCTCACAAACAAACTCCTCCTCACGAACAGACCAAAAGTAGCGTCCCTTTAGACTGGCGGGTGAAGCGCAGGTTTCCATATCATCCTCACGCTCCAGCCTTCGAAGCCAAAGCACTTCACAGTTGCAGTGCAGTGGGTTTCCACCAAAGCTTAGAGAGAGCGGAGGTGCATAAGGAGTACTCATCACCACACTGCTCTGAGAGCGTGCAAAGATGGGGTCTGGAGGGAGCTTCTGGAGACGGTTGGAGGTGAGATCCAAGCGAGCCAGTTTATCCAGATCTGTAAAAGTCCCCTCAGCAATGAAGGAAATTAGGTTATGGTCCAAACTCATCTGATGGAGGTTGACCATCTTGCGGATGGCTTCCCAAGGCACACTGCGCAAATTGTTATATGACAAATCCAGGTCCTCTAGTGTCAGTAACAAGTCATCAAAGGCTGCTTTAGAGATGCGACTCAGCTGATTGTTGTTGAGGATCAGGTGCTGCAGGTTGACCAGTCCTCGGAGGTCATCCGGTCCCAGTTCGGTCAACCGGTTACTGTCCAGGTGCAGGGATCTCAAGGTCTCCAGGTCGATGAACGAGAAAGGCTGGATGGCGCTAATGGTGTTGCGGGACAAAGTGAGATCCACCAGACCTGTCATGTTGGCAAAGTCCTGCGTGGTGACCTTGAGGATGAAGTTGCCACCCAGCCGCAGCTCCACAGTTCGCCGGTCGATGTCCGGTGGCACGAAGAGCAGGCCTTTGGAGGGGCACAGAGTCCCCAGAGACTCCGAGAGGTTCTGGCAGACACAGTATTTGGGACATGCATGGACCATCGTAACTGCGGTTCCCAGAAGCAGGAGACTGATGACCACTTTGTCCATGTTAGTTCATACAAAGAGGGCCTGCAAAAACAAAGAAGAAAAAAAAGAGCAGGTTAAATTTGATATGATTAGGTGAGACTTTTATACTCTACACATTTTCAGTTGCATAATTCACTCTGTGAATTGATTGTGTTTCATATCAGCACGTAAAGGCCCTTATTAATCCAGGTCAGATAGAACTGCACCATGGTCTTTGGACCACAGGGTCACCAAGTCCCCAATGATGGACTGGTGTGATTATCATTCTCGAGAATATTTCACATTAATTTTCTCTATTATAACTTATGAATGTAGTTTGCAATGCAAAGAAGGTGTGAGGAATCACACGAGGATTGTCTGAATGAAGCTCAGGATTAAGCAGAGCTAAGAAGCTAATTTTCGTGACGCACATTCTTATAGCCGTCATCACAGAGAGACTGGCATGTGTGCAGTGGAAAGTAGTTCATGTGTGGGGCACATGCATGTACGTGTATGCAGTAAGGGCTACGGTTAGTGGTTCTTTCTTATAATGCGACACAATCTTCCATCCATCCATTACCTATACAACGCTTAATGCTCTGTAGGGCCAATCTATCACAGAACCACATACAGAGACAGCATCCTGTCGCTAAAAATGGGATGATTGCAGAAATAAAGCAGCTCCTTGTGTTGTGCTTCCCGCATCTATTTACACTTGTCTCTTCCTCTGTTTGTCTTTATCCTATTCTCTGATTTGCTCTCTTTCTCCATCACGTCTGCACCATTTTGGCAAAAGATAATGCAATGCAGAAAAAAAAAAAATCCCACAAGCCGCAGGTGTTAGACTCGGCAGACTTGGCTGACGGTATCAGCACGCCTCTGTGAACGTCTTTAACAGCCCTCACACCTGGCTGACTCCTCCGAATGAATAGCCACACTTGGCTTCATCCAGCGAGCTTTTAATTCCCCCAGACATTTGTATCATTAATTCCTAATACACTCAAAACCTAAAAATCAATTTCAATCATCTTTTTTTTTTTTTTTTTACACAAGCAGTTTTTAAATAATGGAACCTTGTGACTTCTGGTGAGCGTGGTTCTCTCTAGAACCATGGGGTGGGACACTTTCTATGTTTACCGCATGTTTGTGCCATCATTCATCATTATGCATAAGTGTACGAGATGCTAGTCGCACCACGAGGACTTCTTATCTTCCACTACTCTGCAACACCCCTTCATGTGTAGACTCTGCTTTTCAATAACTCATAATTACAAGAGGCAACAAGTATGAACAACCCCTCTCCTTTTTTTGAAACCAGTTTGTAATTACATCATGAAGTGCTGCTGCATGTGGACTGGGTGTTACACGGAGATAATTAGAATGAAATGGCAGACAGGGAAGAAAAAAAAAGGCAATTCAAGGAGAGTCTGTAATAATCAACAGCATTAAATAAATAAATAACAGCGGAAATGTTGACATTTTCACTAACATTATCCCCATTTATGATTGGATGAAACGCATTTAACAGTTGACAATATCTGTATTTAATCTTTTAATACTAGGGAGATATACAGTTTGAAGTTATTATTATTAAAAAAAGCAAAATACAACAAATATATCAGCAGGTAAACAAGTCACTTAGCCCTATGAGTCCTGAGTGATTTCCAGTTTCAATTTACTAGATGTACTTTTATTGTGATCATTAAAAGGCTTCGTCATACATGTTACATGCTGCTGCTTTGTCTTTAAAGAAAGAGAAAGAATGTGTCTAACAACATTAATAGCATTATTTTATGTGCTCACATACAGTGGCCCCCGTGCAGAGGTGGCAACCGAGGCAAATGCTTTCTTGCGATATGGTATTAACATATGATTAAACAGACGTGTTAATATCTACGCAATCATTGCACTGCATAGGTATTAACACGTCTGCAATTTTGAGTTCATGAGTTATTCACACCACAGTACCGGCTGTGGAGGTGAATTCACAGATGTACGCAGGTTGTCACTATGAATGCATTTGATGAAAATTCAAAATTATTTTTCTCGCTCAACACCTCACTTCACAGACAAACAACTACAACTGCTGGAAAAGTCAATAAACATTTTGTGAGCAATTTAACCTGAAGACAAGAGATATAAAGGATTAAGTCTTTTATAACAGTAGCGACATGGCATCAGAAGGCAAAACAGACTCAGTCATGCCAATTCCACAGCTATGTCTGCCTTATGATTGAAAAACAGTAGTTATTAGCCACGTCTCACTACTGATGACTCTACTGCTCCCTTGAAGGAGGATGTGGAGGACCAGGGAAGGT